CTTGTTGTCTCGGATTCTCCAGCATCTGCAGTTCCTACTATCTCTGAAATATTGTGAGCGGTTTTGGGCCCCGTATCTAAAGAAGGATGTGCTGGTGTTGGAGGGGGTCCAGTGGAGGTTTACAAGAATGGTCCCGGAAAGGTCACCATATGAGCAATGGTTGAGGACTGTCTACTTGATGGAGTTTAGAAGGATGAGGGGGAATCTCATTGAAGATTACAGAATACTGAGAGGTCTGGATCTAGTGGACGTGGAGAATATGTTTGCACTAGAACCCAAGGGCACAGCCTCAGACTGAAGGGACAACTCTTTAGAACTGAGATGAGGAGGAATTTTTCAACCGGAGGCTGGTTCATATGTGGAACTCATTTCTGTAGAACGCTGTGGAGGCTAAATCATTGAGTGTATTTAAGACCGAGATAGATATGTTCTTGCTTAGTAAGGCAATGAAGGGTTATGGGGAGAAGGCAGGAGAATGGGTTTGAAAAACCTATCAAACATGATCAAATGGTGGAGTAGAATCAATGACCTGAATGGTGTAATTTTGCTCGTATATCTTATAGTCTTATTATATCTTTTCTCCACACATGCTGCTAGACGTGCTGAGTTCCTCCAGCATTTTCTGTTTACATTTAACCTGTTTAGTTCGATTAGAATTTTGTAGGTTTCCTTGAGACTCCCCCTCATTTTTCTAAACTCCGGTGAATACAATCTTGACTGATCCAGCCTCCATTCATACGTCAGTCTTGCCATCCCAGGAATCTGGTGAACCTTCATTGCACTCTCTCCATATCTTCCTCAGATAAGGAGACCTAAACGGCACACGATATTTACTAAGGCCCTACACAGTTCCAGCAAGACATCCCTGCTCCTGTACTCGACAGTAGGCATGGAGCAGGAGCGATGGTGATTTCTGATCACAGAGAAAGGGAGCAGAGGTCTCTGATCACAGAGAGCAAGGTGAGGGAAGGGAGATCCAATGCCAGAGAGTGAGGAGCGAGGGCATCTCTGATGGCAGTATTCTCAAACTTAATGCTCATTTGTAGATTTATAAAATAGCTGTCCTCAGTCTGCCATCTTACTGTCGTTATTTCTATTGTTTTGCAGTAGACTGGGATTGCACCTGCCTCATTCAGTGGATAGTAAGAATGGAAAAGCACGTTTCAACACAGACACTCAAACACTGGAAGTTACCTTAACTATGAAGAGAGAGTTTGATTTCATTAACTTTGCTTGAGCCAAGTAATGAGGATTAGGAATTGTCAGTGGGTACTTTGTGTATTCAAGCACACATGCTCAGATTGCTGTCTGTCTACATTTAACATTTTGGTTTTAAAGAGGCAGTTTTATGTTTATTCTCCATTCTGGAAGTAAAATAGGATTAAAGGAATTCAATTACCATTTTAGCTTTGTGCGATTAAATCATAACCTGTAGAAGTAATACAAATGTAAAATTTCACACTTCTCCAGATGTTTCTGCTGATGAATGATTTGATTGGTGTTCAAAGGATTCCTGTGGGCATTTTTGTTTAGGGAATTTTTTTTTAAACCACAAGTACTTCTGGCTTGTGACAGTAATGCTCCACTGTAGTATTACAGAAAATTTTTATTGCTTGCTTTGTGAAAATGTGAAACAGTTTAATAAATGCTGATGTTTAAATGATAGTGATGTTTTTGATGTATGTTCAAAAAATTGGCTATGAGGTTTGCACCAAATTAGTTTTCCAACTGTCAGACCTGGATTAGAAGGCATACAGATGAGATGGATGCTGCATTTCAGGTAGAAGTGTTCCTTATGAAATAATTAATCTGAATTTAACACCCAAGTAACACTTGTCTATAACACATAGCTCTGCATCATTAATCACAAGCTGGCAAACTCATAAGCTGGGTTGGTATGACAATGAAATTACAGTCTTTTGTGTGGTAGGAGCTAAAGGCATTGGCTGAGAATCTTTCTTTTCCTTGGATAATCTCAGTTTTGCGCCTCGGTTTGCCAGATACTGAAATGACTGTTAAGTCCACTTTACAATCTACAGACTCTTCAACATGCTTGAACAGTCAGGTAGAGTGATCCTCCTCTTCACCTCTGCGCTTTCCTGATCAAATTTCAGAATCTGTTCAGTGCCTTACTGATGAAACTTCTCCATTTTGTTTGTCACAAGTCTCCCATGAATCGGTGGGTATTTTTGACCTCTTCACAGATGCCTTGGGGATCTTTAAATTATTCCTACTGTCCTCCTGTGAGTCTCATGCCTGCAAGTTTTGAGTCAAGAAGTTATTTCAGTACTCTGATATCAATCAAATGAGTGACAAAGTCCCATCTAATGAGATAATCTTTCATGATTAATACCTTGATGCTGGACCTGCTGCTGGATTGCCTTTCTTGGTACTTAATTTGAAGGATATTGAGAATCTTTACTGAGCAATATTAACGTGCTGTTCAGAACCATGGCTGCTCAATGCTGACATTGGTTGCTCCCTTTGCCTCCAGTGATCCCTCTCACCTTGACCAATACAAAATTCTCACTAATGAAACTCCAGAAAATGCAACATTCCAACTTCAAAATACCAGTCCTGCATTAAACAATACAGACTGACCTTGATCCTTTTTGTCTGTAACTATTGTTTTGATTCTTATCTATGATTCATCTTTTTGTGTGTATGACTGTGTGTGTGTGTGTGTGGAGCATAGTTTCTTTAATTACCTCAAGAATAAGAGGACTGGAATAAAGCAAACTTGCCTTTCAGTAGAATAGGTTTGCTGCTGGACTTTTTAAATTCACTCACACATTCTGAGGGCAAAAAATACACACTTTCATATCTAAATACAACTTTAAAGAAGTTTAACTTTTTTTAAAAAAAGCTTTAACTTCTTTTTGACCACAACTTTAAAGAAACAACTAAAATATTTGTGACTCTCATCTACTCATTAATTCAGCAAGACCACTTTTGAACTTTGTGCTGAATAATCTTTACTATATTTTTAGTTTCTAGATTTTCCTTGAATCTTTGAGTCATAGAATCATAAAATCATACAGTACAAGAGAAGCCCTTCAGCCCATTGAGTCTGTACCACCAAAAATATTTGACCACCAACACTAGTCACACTTTTCTACACAAGACCACCTCCTTGAATGTTATGACACTTCAATTTCTCATCCAAATAGGTTACCTGTTTCATTTACCTCCAAAGCAGTGCATTCTAGACTCCTATTACCCTCTTCGTGAAAAATCGTTTTCTCAAATCCCCTTTAAACCTGCCTTTCACTTTAAAAGTATGCTGTCTTGTTGTTGACTGTTTGATTAAGGCATCCTATTCATTTTGTCCATGCCCCTCATAATCTTACACACCTCTGTCAGGCCACCCTCAACCTTTCTGCTCCAAAGGAAACAACCTGAGCTCATCCAGTCTGTCTTCATACCTGAAATGCTCCATCCCAGGCATCTTGATGAATCTCCTCTTCACCCCTTCCAGTACAATTGCATCCTTCCGATAGTGTGGTGACTGGAATTGTGCACAGTATCCCAGCTGTGACCCAACCAAAATTTGTACAGCTCTAACATGACCTCCCTGTTCTTATAATCTATGCTCCCAACTGATAAAGGCAAGTATCCATATGCTTTTTTAACTACTCTATTAGCTTGTCTTGTCACTTTTAGGGATCTGTGGACAAACACTCCAAGATCCCTCTTTTCCTCTGAGCTTCCTAGTGTCCTTCCATTCATTGGGTACTCCTTTGTTTTGTTACTTCTCCCAAGGTGCATCACCTCACATTTGTCAATGTTGCCATTGATCTGCTGATCTGACCAACCCAGCCATATCTTCCATAACCTAAGACTTTTGACCTCACTCTCATCCGCCCAGCCAATCTTTCTGTCATCCACAAACTTACTGCCACATTCTCATCGACACGATTTATGAATATCATTACCTGTAAGGGACCCAGCACTAATCTCCGTAGTATGTCACTGCACACTAGTCTCCAGGCACACAAACAGCCTTCTACCACTACCCTCTGTCTTCTGTCACTAAGCTAGTTTTGGATTCAACTTGCCAAGTTACTCCGGATCCTATGAATTATTACTTTGTTTATCACTTTCCCAAGTGGGTCTTTTTCAAAGGCCATGCCGAAATCCACATGAACTACATCAAATGCCTTAACCTCATCTGCATATTTGGTCACCTCAAACGGTTCAATCAAATTCATTAGGCATGTCCTATCTCTGACAGATCCACGCTATATCTGGTCAAGCCTTGCCTCACTAAATGGAAATTAATTTTCTCTTTCAATATTTTCTCCAACAAGTTTCCTACTACTGATATCAGACTCACAACCTATAGTTCCCTAGACAATCTCTACTACCCTTGATGTAAAGAGGAACCACATTATCTGTCCTCTAGTCCTCTGCCACTACCCTGTTGCCAGAGACGATTTAAAAATTTGGGTCAGGACCCTGTTACTGCCTCTCTCTTCTCCCAAAGCAGCCTAGGATATGACTCATCTGGACCTGGGAATTTATCCACTTTAAAAACCTCCAAAACATTCAATAGCTCCTCACTCCTTATATCAATCTGCTCAAGAACCTTACAGACCTTCTTCCCAAATTTTGTACTTGCGTCCTTCTCCTGAGTAAAGACAATGTAAAGTACTTGTTTAGCACTTAGTAATGTTCTCTGGACTCACGGACAAATTGCCCCCTTGGTCCCTAGTAGGTCCTACTGTTTCCTGGTTGTTCTTTTACCATTGATACACTTGCAAAATATCTTTGGGAATTGTCCTAATTTTGCTTTGCCATTGTATTCTCATGCCCCCTCTTTGCTCTCCTAATTGCTTTCTTGAGATTATGCTACACATTCTATACTTCTCTCGGGCCTCTTTTGCTCCCTTTGCACCTATTATTCATCTGCCTTTTCCTTTTTATTCTGTCCTGAATATTCCTAGACATCTAGGGTCCTCTGGAGCTTGTTGCTCTTACATTTTGCCCTAAAGGGAACATGTTGGGACTATACTATCACCAGCACCTTTTTGAATGCCTCTCACTGTTTTGCTAAAGATTTTTTCCTCAGTGGCTGTTCCCAGTCAATTTTGGCCAGATTCTGTCTTATTTTTCGAGTACTGTGTACAGTTCTGGTTTCACTGCTATAGGAAGGATGTTATTAAATTAGAAAGGGTGCGGAAAAGATTTACACGGATGTCACCAGGACCAGAGGGTTTGTGTTACAGGGATAGGTTGGGACTTCTTTCCTGGAGCATGGAAGGTTGAGGGTGACCTTATATAAGTTTATAAAATCATGAGGAGCATAGATAAGTTGAATAGCAAAGATCTTTACCCTAGGATTATAGGGATTCAAAACTAGAGAGCATAGTTTTAACGTGAGAGGGGAAAGATTTAAAAGAAACCTGAGCGAAAACTTTTTCACGCAGCCAGCGGTATATGGAATGAACTGCCAGATTAAGTGATAGATGGAGGCACAGTTACAATAATTAAAAGACATTTGAACAGGTATATGAATTGTAAAGGTTTAGAGGAATATGGGCCAAACAACGGCAAACGCGACTAGTTTGGTTTGGGAAACCTGGGCAGCATGGACAAGTTGGACCGAAGGATATGTGTCTGTGCTGTGTGACTCTATAACTCTCATAATATCTACCTTATCTTAGTTCAAACCCTTTTTTGCTGAACATCTTTCTCCTTTTCCATAATAAACTTAAAATATACAGTGTCATGGTCACTATCAGTAAAATGCTCCCCCTCTGTCGCCTTGAATATCTGTCTTGCTTCATTTCACCGAATTAGGTACAGCACTGTGCCGTCCCTTGTAGGACCATTTATGTTGACATAAAAAGCTCTCCTGAATGTATTACAAGAAGTCTGCCCCTCTAAATATTTTGTACTATGATTATCCCAATTAATATGGGATATTTGAAATCCTTAATATAATTACTCTATCATTTTTTTTCATGCCTTAGTGAATTGATTACATATCTGCTCTTCAATTGCCCACAGACTGGGAGTTTATAATATACTCCTGTGTGACTGCATACTTTTTATTCTGAAGTTATACTAACAAAGCTTTATTTGATGACACTTCCTAGGTATCATCCCTCCTTACTGCAGTAACTAATAACATGACATCTCCTACATTTTTGCATCCGCCCCTATCCCACCTTTGAGTAAAGATATGATAACCTTCTCACCAATGTTAAGCTAACTTACCAACTGTTGTCTGAATTAGTTCCAGCCCCCTTTCTAAATTTATGTGTCATATTAGTGGCCAACTGACATAATTGCCTTTTCTTAAATCATGCCTCTGTTTCCCTTCCCAAACCTCTAATTCTAAGTAGATGCACTTATCCAGAATTTTAGACTCTTCATTTGATTAATTTATCAGTTGTCTTCTCCTTTTAAATGTCTTGATAACTGTTTTTGATCTCTTCTAAATAACATTCACCCCACCAATCTCCCAGAAGTTTTCTATTTCACTATTCATTTGTTATTGCCTGAGAGATGGTTGTGTAATTCCAATGAGGGTCTATCCTTATCTTGATTTCATTTCATCATTTATGTGTCTGTGGAATACTTTGATAATTATTTTTGTATTATTAGTAGCTTACTTTTGTAATTTCCCTTTGCTTTCCAATAAAGTTGCACAGTGAGCT